AGAGAGAGAGAGAGAGAGAGAGAGAGAGAGAGAGAGAGAGAGAGAGTCAGAATTCCCTAACATAGAAACAAACCAGTTCACCGGTGAAATCTCCCTGGTTATCTTGGATTATCATGTGTAGTTCGCTGCCTCTGCTTTTAGCAATGGCAACGGTACCTAAACTGGACGTCATTCATGGGCTGCATCACCCCAAATCCGTAGCGGGTCTTGTTCATGGCCGGGATCTCCTCCTGCTGATTGATCAGCTCCAGGTCAAAACAAGCCAGCATCATGAAGGCGAAAAGCTTGATTTCGTTGGTAGCGAAGTAACGGCCAGGACACATGGAGGTCCCAGCCCCCCAAGGCATGGTGAAATACTTCACCTTCTCACCGTTCTTAAAAAATTCCTTTTTGGAGCCATTTTGGCTGAGGAAACGGTCATATTTGAAGGCCTGGGGCTCTGCGTGGATTTCGGGGTCCATGTGGGCCGAGAGGAAAGGGAAGAGGCCAATTTTGTCGCCTTTGCGCAGCAAGTAGGACTTCCCATTGTGGAGTTTGAACTCCATATCTTCTAAAACCAGCCGAACCAACAAAGGGGCTGTCGCCAACCTCAAGGTCTCTTCCACGGCGCTGTCCAGGATGGGCGTTTGGCTCAGCATCTCCCTGGTGACGTTCAAGGGCTTCTGGCGGGAGATCATCTCTTGGCCCGACTTCTTCATCACCCCCTCAATCTCCTTCCTGACCTCTTCCATGGCTTTGGGGTGCTTCATCAAGTACTCCAGGAGCCAGAAGGAAGCTGGACCGGTGTTACCTTGAGCGGCCCAAAGGAGAAGGAACATGAAGCGGTCCCTCATCTCTTCGGACAGCCCACTTTCAGCCAGCTGTTGAGACTGGTCGCTGATCCACCGGCTGATGTTGTCCTTCTGGTAGACGTTCTTCACTGAAAGCACTTCCCAGAAGTAGTTCCAGATTTTCTTCACTTGGCCCCATTCCGACGGGGTCAACAGGGCGTACGAGAGGCGCGGGAAGAGCTTGTCATATTTGCGAAATTCAACGAATATCTCTTCGGAGTGCTGCTTGTCCTTTTGTTCTGATTTTTCTTTCTGTTTCCCATTTGGTTCGGTGCCATACAAAGCCAGGTACCCAGCTCGGAAGACCATGTTGTAGCAAAAGTGGAACAAACCATCTTCTTTCCAGGATTTCGGATCTTCTTTGGAGGTTTCCTGCCACCGGAGTAAGACAGCCTGCAAGGCATCCATCATGGCTTGGGTCATCACTTCCAGGCCTTCTCCCTTCAGATGCTTCGTGCTGGAGGTCTCAATGATCTTGTGTGTCGTGTGGGTGGCCTCGAATCGAAACACCCTGAGGACTAGCTCGGCTGCAAACGAAATGAAATCCAGTTTGTTTCGGGCTTCCTTGACGATGCCGCCGAAGGACAGCGGGTCTGTCAAGAAAGTAAAATACTGTCCTGCGATCAAGGCCGTGAAAATGTCCCCATGCTTCTTCTGCATGGTTTGCAGGAAATCCATGGTGTCGTTTCGGAAGTGCAATGCGTGTCCTAGCCATGGAATGAGTCCTTTGTCCAAAGGGGGTTCATTGGGTCGTCTTCGGCGGAAGAAGCCCGTTAGGTAGAGGATCCCCAAAAGACCGGCCCCCGAGGCAACTGCGACTGTCACCCAGAAGGACATCTTGAAGAGTGTGTGCAGTTCAAGGCAAGCAGCCTTTTTAATAATCACAGGTTCTTCAGAGAAAAGTGGGTGTATTTTTTGGATACAGGGAGGAGTTTCAGTTGAGCAAACAAGCTAAGAATTGCAATTAACCCTTACAATGGGGAGGGGAAGGGAAGGGAGGAAAGCAGCTGTAGTGCCTGAATCGGCTTTCCACCGTAAATTCTCAAAGACTTCATTAACCAACAGGAAGGAGCTGGGCAAGACACATGCCAGCGCTTATTTGACATTTGAGCGTGTGTTTTCTTGACCCAATGCAAGTCGTGCAAAACAGGAATATTGAGAACAAGGTCTAATCTCCTGAGAGAGGGAGAGGAGAGGAGCAAACTTTTGAATATTTGGAGATCCATGAAGGATGAGGGTTGTGCGGGGGACAGGGCGGGGGGGAGACAGAATGTGAGACTGCTAATCTCAGGATTATTGGGAGGGAGAAGGAAAAAGAAGAAGAGGAGGAGGAGGAAGAAAGGGAGGAGGACGAGAAAAAGAAGGAGGAGGAAGAGACGAGGAGGAAGAAGAGGAGGAAGAAGAGGAGGAGGAGTAAGTATGATCTTCCATGCAAGAGTTAATTTTACACTGATTGTGACCTTACAGCTGGATGCTTACAATCTGGGTGAACAATTATTGCACTGTCAGAAGCTACCCGCTGCATGAAAAAATTAAATTATCTCAACACAGTTGGCCTTTTAAAACACTTTCAATCAAAGGGGTTAAATGTGGAGCTCCCCCAAAAGGGTTTGAGGAAGAGACCCCAGAGTGGGTGAGTTTTCAATTGGGGAAGTCAGGATGATTTCAAGGACAACTTTAAAAAGCTTCAACCTCCTCTATATTTCTGGGGTGCGCCCCAGCAGATGTAAGATGTACCCCCCCAGAACCCAAGGTGGGCCTTTTAAACCATGTCCCAGAACCTCACCTTAACTTCAGTATGTTTGGAGGTGCGTATTGGTAGTCCTTGACTTACAACAGTTCATTTAGTGACCATTCAAACAGTGGTGGGATTCAAAAATTTTTTACTACCGGTTCTGTGGGCGTGGCTTGGTGGGCATGGCAGGGGAAGGATCCTGCAAAACCCCCACTCCCTCCCCACCCCACTAACCTGCTTTCCAGCTCCGTTCTCCTGTGCAAGGCAACCAAAGGAAACCCAGCCGATCAACTGGGACTCAATGGGAGGCAGAGAAGAGATGGGGTTGGCGGGGTCAGTCAGAGGTGGGATTGGCCGGTTCTCCGAACTACTCAAAATTTCCGCTCCTGGTTCTCCAGAACTGGTCAGGACCTGCTGAAGACCCACCTCTGCACTCAGAGTTAGAAAGGCACGGAAACAAGTGACTTATGGCTGTTTTCCACTCTTACGACCATTGCAGCATTCATATGGTCATGTGATAAAAATTCGGACACTTGGCCACTGGCTCATATTTATGATGATCGTAGAGTCCCGGGGTCACATGGTCCCGTTTTGTGACCATCTGACAAGCAAAGTCAATGGAGGAAGCCAGATTCACTTAACAACCAGATTACTAACTTAGCAAGTGCAGTGATTCAATTAACAGCTGTGGCAGGAAAAGTTGTAAAATGGGGCAAAACACACTTAACAAATTTTGGGCTCAATTGTGGTCACAAATCAAGGACTATCTGTAATTCTTTGAATATAGATTTTGAAGGGGTTTAAACCAGGGGTGGGCAACCTTTTTGGCTCGGGGGCCTCATTGACTTTTAAAATTTGACAGACGGGCGGGGTCAGCACAAAATACGATACATATAAAAAAACCGCAAAATCTCCGTAAAATCAAGTCACTGCGCCTAATGCGCCACCTGGTGTCAAAATGCCTGTCATTACAAGTCAAAATCAAATGAATGCAATCATTCAATCATTCACATCAAACCTTAATTCTGTACCAATCTTCGGCGGGCCAGATTAAAAAAACCAACGGGCCGGATGTGGCCCGCGGGCCATAGTTTGCCCACCCCTGGGTTTAAGCCTTTTGTCTTAAAAATCTTTCTAAATCGAAGGAGGTTTCTAACACTTAGCCAGTTTAAGAGGAATGGATTAACTTTAAGACCCGTGGACTTCAACTTCCAGAATTCTCATGGCTGGTTGGGGAAGTTGAAGTCCACGAGTCTTAAAGTGGCCAAGGTTAAGATTCACTCATCCAGAAGATTAGTCTAATTGGCATCTCCTCACCGTTGTTTTGCATCATTTCAGGGTCTGCCCTGAAACAGATTAATTTCATATTTCTTATTCTTCAGGGGTGAGTTGATTTACAGATGGTCCTTGACTTGTGACCACAACTGGGACCAGAATTTCCATTGCCAAACAAGACAGTTGATAAAGCGACTCACACCCAATGTTTTGATGTTTTTCTCCCCACGGTTGTTAAGTGAATCTCTGCCACTTGTTAAGTGAATAATGCGGTCATTAAGTGAAATAAAATTTCCCCCATTGAGTTGGCTTGAGAGAAGCAGGCTTGGAAGGTTGCAAATGGCGATTACCTAGAGACGCTGCAGCCATCATAAATACAAACCAGCTGCCAAGTAAGTCCCTTTTTAAAGCACTGTTGTAACTTTGAACCGTCAGTAAATGAAAGGTTGTAAGTAGAGGACTGCCTGTATGTGCTAGGTCTCCCAAAGGGTGCCCCAATGCATTTATGGAAGGGATTTTCCAGGCAGGGCTGCCATCTGCTAGTCATGTAGGAAATAGCAAGGAGAGAAACAGATCCCTGGGAAATTGAGAAAGATGGTGGAGACAATTTGTAAGGAGCCCCATCTTCACATTTCATTCACTGGGGTAATCAATCACTGGTTTGGTTGTACCAGGGTACCCATGATCCACATACCTCTACTGGACATAAGAGCTGGACCTGAAAAGGCAGGACCAGAAGCAACGGGTGGAAACTAATCAAGGAGAGAAGCAACTTAGAACTAAGGAGAAAGTTCATGACAGTGAGAACAATCAACCAGTGGAACGGCTTGACTCCAGAAGTCGTGAATGCCCCAACACTGGAGGCTTTCAAGAAGAGATTGGACAAAGACTTGTCTGAAATGGTGTAGTATCTGCTTTAGGAAAGGGTTGGACAAGATGACCTCCAAGGTCCCTTCCAACTCTATTATTCTGCATTCTGTATTCTTCTTCCAGATGCTAACCAGGAGCTAAGAGCTCCCTCTGCTGGCGTAACATTTGGCTCCAGGCTTTTTTCAAAACTAGAAACATATTTGATATACAGGTTGTCCTTGACTTATGATCACAATTTTGTGCCCAAAATTTCCGTTCCTAAGTGAGTTTATTTGTTAAGTGAATTTTGCCCCGTTTTACAACCTTTCTTGCAACAGTACTGGAAGGATTGGAGCATAAACAGAGTGCTTATACAGTGTGTGCCTGGCCCAATCTTTGATTTCCTTGCTGAGCTGGGAGATGCAGGGATAAAAACTTCTAGGTGAGGCTGCCAACCTTAGCAAAGTAACTACTTGAGAAATGCAAAATGCAATCTGCTTGTAACTAACTTAAAACGTGTCCTTCTCAGTAACTTAAAATGTGAGAAATGAAGCTTTGAGCTCAAATATATTTCTTTCCAATCCATCTAAGTAAGATTCCTTTGTTTGTACAAGCGCTGAGAAAATTTCATAAGCTTTGCTTGATATGAAATAATGTATCCATAGCAATGACGGTCTTTGCTAGCTGTGTAATCTATAAAAGTTCAAGAAAAAGTTTTTGTGCACGCCTGCTTTTCTCTCTCTGCCTTGCTGTTTAAGGTGGGAGACGGAAAGGTCGCCCCGTTTTCGTTTTCTAATCAGAAAATAAAGCTGATTATCAGTAGCCTCGTGTTCAGAGTTTCACTGGATTTATTAGATTCTGAGCTACACTCGAAAAACCTTACAGTACTTAAGTGAATCACTGCAGTTTTTAAGTCCGTCACACGGTCGTTAAGTGAATCTGGGCTTCCCCCATTGACTTTGTTTATCAGAAGGTCGCAAAAGGGGATCATGTGACCCCCGAGACAAGCAACTGTCATAAGTACATGCCAGTTGCCAAGCATCTGAATGTTGTCCTTGAGGATGCTGCAATGGTTGTAAGTGTGAGAAACAGTCCTAAGTCCCTTTTTCCAATGACATTGTAACACTGAACAGTCACTAAGTGAACTGTTCTAAGTCAAGAGCTACTTGCACTGCACATAGTACGATGGAAACCGAGTACAGACGGTCCCACAAATGAGACGAGAATTTCCAGTGCCAAGCAAGGCGGTTCTTAAGTGAATCTGACCGACTTTTTGTGCCACAGTTGTTAAGTGGATTGTTGCAGTTGTCAAATGAATCGTGTGTCCGGGTTCCAAGAAACAGACCCACAGCAAGCCAAACCCAGAGGCAGGCAGATTCCTCAAAGAATAGTTTTATTTGGATGGGCCATTTTGGCACAGATCTGGTGAAAACCGACTCTGAAGACTCCCACAGTTTTCACCTAATTAAAAGGGAAAGTTTTCCCCCCAATCCCAAATGATCAGTCCCCTGGCCCAGTCAAGGCAGTGTCCGCTGGTCAGGTGACCTTGCTCCTCTGGCCAGGTGTGGGAACATCCTTGGTTCCCAAGAGAAAGTATTTGGTTTCGATTACACAACCCCAGCTCTCCTCCCCGCCCCTGTGAGTTTTGCCCTATTTTCTTGCCGCCATTTTTAAATGGATCGCTGCAGCTGTTAAGTTCATTAAGACGGCCGTTAAGTGAATCTGCCTTACCCCTTGACTTTGCTTGTCAGAAGGCTGCAAAAGGGGCAGGGGTGGGCTTCCAAGCATTTAGCAACGAGTTCTCTGCCTGGTTGCTGGGTGGGCGTGGCTATCGTGGGCGTGGCCTAGTCAGCCTCCTGCACCATGGCAGGGAAGGGGGGCGTTTTATCCCTCCCCGGGCTCCGGAGGCCTTCTTGAAGCCGAAAATGGGCCTGTTTCTGGCCTTCTGGAGCCTCCGGGTAGCCCATTTTTCGCCCTCCCGAAGCCCTCCGTGCCTCC